ACGAAACAAAAAAAAAAAAAGAAGAAGAAGACTTTTGTTAAGCTTCCCATCAGGTTGACTGCTGAAGGCCACAAGGGCCGAGATAGCCACTATTCAATTTTCCAGACAAAATTTGCCACCCCATGACACAGAAGCAGGAAAATTGGAACTGGTTTGAGAAAAAAGAAGCCTGAGTCATTTTTCGCAGTGCATGACACTAAGCTAGTTTGTGCCCTGGGCACACATTTGCATACACACGACCCCTTTGATTTAGTTTGAGCTTGTTTCTAGTTGACAGTTTATTTTAGCTGTTTAAGAAACCCTAGGAAACCTGTCACTGTACCTCAAGAACAATGCTGTGTTGCTGGTTTGCAGTGGAGGAGGAGGGTCAGGATGAAGGGTAGTAATTATGTTTGCAAGTTCTTATTTTTAAAGACTTATTTATTTAGTATGTATGCATTATTCTGCTTGCAGGCCAGAAGTGGGCACCAGGTACCATCACAGATGGTTGTGAGCCACCATGTGGTTGCTGGGAATTGAACTCAGGACCTCCGGAAGAGCAGGCAGTGTTCTTAACTGCTGAGCCATCTCTCCAGTGTCTGTTTACAAGTTCTTAAATGCCCAGCAAAAAATTTCGTTCAAAATAAATCTGTCCATGAAAGGTCAAGGCCTCTGCGACTGAAGCAAGAGCTGTGTTTCAGGCAACTCAAGAAGGAGCATCTTTTTAAACAGGTTTATCATCTCCATTAGGACCACATGGCAGGGTGACTGCCTTGATTACTGTTCTGCGGCTGTGGAGAGACACCATGGCCAAGGAAACTTAAAAAAGGAAGCATTTAACCGGCTTGCTTACAGCTTCAGAGAGTCTGTGACCATCATGGCGGGAGCATGGCAGCAGACAGGCATGGTGCTGGAGAAGTAGCCGAGAACTACTGATGCAAAGGCAGGAGAGAGAGACAGACAGACAGACAGAGAGAGACAGAGACAGAGAGAGACAGAGAGAGACAGACACAGAGAGACAGAGACAGAGAGAGACAGAGACAGAGAGAGACAGAGAGAGACAGACACAGAGAGACAGAGACAGAGAGAGACAGAGAGAGACAGACACACAGAGAGACAGACACACAGAGAGACAGAGAGACAGACACACAGAGAGACAGAGAGAGACAGACACAGAGAGACAGAGACAGAGAGAGACAGAGACAGAGAGAGACAGAGAGAGACAGACACACAGAGAGACAGACACACAGAGAGACAGAGAGACAGACACACAGAGAGACAGAGAGAGACAGACACAGAGAGAGAGACAGACACAGAGAGAGAGAGACAGACAGAGAGAGAGAGACGCAGAGAGACAGAGAACAGAGACAGAGGGGGGGGGAGAGACACTGGGCCACTCTCATTCAAACCATGACAGCGACCTTAACTTTGAAGTTTACCAAGTTCTTTCTTTAAATCACACCCATAATATAATTAATTAAAGAAGACCAATATGTTTAACCCAAACACAGGCATGGAATTCACACACACACACACCACTTTGGCGAAAACTCCAAGTGAGCTCCAGACTGGCAAACAATGAGTCTGTCAGACCAAAGGTTGGGGGAGAGGAGAAGAGACCACAACTCTCAAGTGCTTCGGGAAAGGCTTTAATCTGGTTCCTAACAAAGGTCGGTGCACAAATCCCTCCATGCCAGAGCAATTCCCACCCCTAGAGTATTTCCTAGAGAAACTCTGGCACTTGTGTGCTCCACTGAGCACACATATGTGTTCACTGCAGCATAGCTTGTAAGAGTAAAGTTGGAAAACTCCACCTATTACTTCAATGATAGAAAAGAAAAATTAGTTTTATTGCGTTCATCAGATGAGTGAGAGATTATACAACAGTGAAGATAGGTAGATGGCAGCTTTACCTGAATCATGAAAACACACAGACTGTGAAGATAGTATAATTCTGTTGATGTCGAATGTGAAAACAGGCCACAGTAATAGGTATTAATAGATAATATACACATCCATATATCAGTATAACTAAAATTGCATATTAATATGAATGCTTATTTTGGAATAAGTAAATGGAATTTAACTGTAAAGGTGATAAGACACTAATTAGCATTGAGTTTCAAATTGCCTCTGAAGGTAGGGAGCTTATGGGAGGGCAGGCAGTTTGGTAGTCCATGCTGGAGTTCTTAAGCACACTAGTAGGATCTATGCTTTGCAATCTTGTGTGTTCAGTATGTGCTATGTTTGTTGCATGCTCTGCTCTTGGACAGCATTATGGAACTTGTAGCAAAGACTTAGACTAGTGATTTAGAGACACCCCATTTCTGCAACAGTAGTTAGTATCAGCCAGGTTCCAGACTCATACAGTATACTTAGAATTCTTGCTAAGTATCTGGAGTATTGGAGTGATTCATTTGATCCTTAGGATGCCTTTTCTAGGAAAGACACAGTTTCATATAGCTCAGGCTAGCCTTGAACTCATTACATAGCTAAGGATGATCTTGAATTTCTGATCTTCTTGTCTCCACCTCTGGGGAATAAGGATTAAAAGTATGGGCTCCCATGCCTGGTTTAAATAGTGTTAGGATTGAACCCATGACTTCATGCATGATAGACAACTCTACCAACTGAGCAACATCAGCAATCTCTTTTTGAGTCTATAACAAGGGTATTACTCAACAGTTAACAGACAAAAATTGCTATTCAAGCAGCCTTCTCACTCCCCTCCACTCTGTCAGTCACACAAGGGTTTCTTGGCACATATCCAAGTAGGAAGGCAATGAGAAGAACCCACATGAGGCCGCATCACTTAAAGCCCCAAGTCAGAGGAGCTGGAGTTCCCAGATTGCATTACCCCAGCTGCACAGATAAGAACGACAGCATTCAAACCATGGGCCTGCTGGGATGCAGGACAGCGAAGGCTGAAGGTGCTATGGGTGGGGCTACATGCTTTGGATTAGTCTGGGTGGAGGGGGCGGGGAGAGGGAAGTAGAAGATGATGGATCTGGAAATCAGATAAGTGTTGTCTAAATCACACTTTCCCAATGTTGCAGAGCACAGCTTAGACCATGCCCACCCCTGCAGAACCCCCCAGGATTATCCCAGGACAACCTCTCAAGGACCCCGTTGCGTATGGCATTTCACTTTACGCTCCAAGCATAGCATCACGGATGACAGAACTGCTTTTTCTCAGATCTTATTTTGTGCTGAGATGACTGGCTTAGGTAAAGCTTGCTTTTAATTGATATCCTCCCTGGGGAATTCCTCAACGCTTATTTTCCGCTCCTTATATTATTATTGTTTTAGATAAAGTTTTTTTTGTGATATCTTTGAAACTTAATTATCACGCATTAGAAGCATGCATAGAGGTTCTTTTGCTTCCAGCCAGACCCCTTGTGTCTCTTTATCTCAAAGATATACATCTGCATATGTATGACTTTTGTATGAGTTTACGAATACCATGTGTATGCAAGATTTTGTAGGGGCTGGAGGAGCACATCAGATCCCCTGGAGTTACAGGTAGTTGTACGCTACCTGATAGGCGTGCTGAAACCACAGCTGAGTCCTCCTCTCCATGGGTGCTGGGACCAAAGCTGAAAACTCTGAAGAGTAGTAAGCACTCTTCAAGGTGGAGCTGTCTTTCCAGCCCCAGTCCTGTCTTTACTTTGTCCCTTAGTCCTCTTTCTAGAATCCTGTGTTTGCCTTTTTCTCTTACGCCAGTGTGGGGGCATCAGAGCAAAGAGACAGAACACAGGGAAACAGTAAGTGCAGAGAGCGGAATGTGAAGACAGACTAGCCTCTACAGATCTCTGTGTGTTTATACTTAGCCAGGCATGGTAGAACAGGCATGTCATTCCCTTCTGAGTTCCGAGCATTGTGGGAGAAATGTATAGAATCATCATTGATAAATTTGTGCACGCACTTTTACACATGTATACCAGGCAGAGGCGGGGGTCAGATGTCGTCTGTCACTCTCCACCTTATCGGTTTGTGTCAGGTTCCCTTACTGAGCTGAAGCTCACTGTCTCGTCCAGGCTGGCTGGGATCTGCCCACTTCTGTCCCTAGGGCTGGGATTATAGGTCCTTGTAGCTACGTTCAGTGTGCCGGCTAGTTTTGTGTCAACTTGACATGAGCTACAGTCATCTGAGAAAAGGGAACCTCCACTGAGAAAAATCCTTCCATAAGACTGGGCTCATGGAAAGCTGTGGAGCATTTCCCTGAGTGTCTGAGTTAGAGGCATGTGTCACTGTGCCCAACTTGCTTTTTAAATTAACTTTTAATTGGCAAATTATATACGTGTATTACGTATAGCATGATGTGTAGGGAAATGTTTACATGGTGGACTGGCTTCATATTTCACCTCATATTTTGGTAGTCTTTTTCTCAAATGTATAGACAAAATTCTCAAAAGTGTAAATATGGACTAGAGATAGAGTTCAATTGGTAAAGATCTGACAAACTTGCACAAAGCCCCGGTTTGATGCCCAACACCATATAAGCTAGGCATGGTGGCACACAGCTGTAATCCTGACCTTCAGAATGTAGAAACAGGGTCAGAAATTCAAGGTTATTCTTGATTTCACCATGAGTTTAAGACCAGCCTGAGCTATGCTAGACCCGGTCTCAAAAAAACAAAATAAAACAAAACAAACAAACTGAAAGCAAGCAGGCAAGCAAACAAGAAAGAAAGGAAAAAGGAAAGGAAGAAAGAATCAGTCAACCATATTTCTAGATACAATGTGGAAGCATTATATACCTTCTATAAAGTAACCAGGTTTACATTTCTATGTGAGGAAATTCTGTTTCTTATCTGGAATGTAATTAGTTGCTTACACATCTTAAAAAATGAACCGAAAGGACAAATGAATCCTGTGTTGTCACTAGTGTCGTACCTGCTTGCTAGTCCCCGACTGGGTGTATTTCCATGCACAGACTCAGCCCTTGGCCAGGTAGAACAGAATTGATAATAACCAGCCTGCTGTGCACGCGCATGCGCACGATGAAAACCTGCCTGCTGTGCACGCGCATGCGCAGACCCAGTTGACAGCACAGGTTGCTGCTCTGAGGAGCCCAGCACCTAGTGTGGGAACAGAAAGGACTTCTTGGTTAAACAGGAAGCTCTACATGAGCAGCTTTAGAGAGCTGACTGGGGCAAATCTACATAGAATTCGAAAAATCTTTGGCCATTTTATCCCACATGCGGCTCAGCAGTTGTCGGGTTTAAGGATTAAGCTAAGAAAGAGGTCTTTTCAGAGAAAATACCAACAAAGAATTTTCTTGGCTTGTCTGTAGGAGCTCAGAGACTTTCAACTTTTGAGCTACCAGTTTTGCGGGGCTGCAGAAATTTGATCCTCAGCCTTCCCAGGACGGAGCGAGGTTTGTGAGAATTCCCGGAGGGCTGTGGTAAGGGGAAAAGTGAAAGGAAGGAAAATGGTGACGGTTGTAAGACAAAGAAGAGGAAGGCAAACACAACAGAGTGAAAGAGCGATAGACTTAGCACCTGGTGAGAGTCGAGCACTCCCATGCTGGGGTTCTAGTCTCATCTCCATTGCTATGGTAAAGCACCAACTAAATGCAACTAGGGAAGGAGAGAGTGTATTTGGCCCACAATCCCAGATGATCACCTAGCATGTCACAGGTGTCGGGGCAGGAACTCAGCAGTTTCCTTGTGTTGTCCAGGATAGCTCTGAATTCCTACACTCAACTGATCCTCCTGACTCAACACTGGTGTCTTTGAAACTATAGCCACACCCAGCCTAGGGTCTATTTGGACAGAATGATGGACAGTGAATATGTATGACGTCCAGGTTCTGGTGCAATTGTGAGGTACCCAGAAATGAACATTATGTAAAGTTCCGTGCTTGAAGGGTTTGTGTTATAAAGGGGCGTGCATGATTTGTGTCTAATAATTATGGAGTATTATTACTAAAAAATGAACTAAGAGATAAAATTTGACTTTGTTCTTGCAGGAAGAAATAAAAAGAGGGAGAAGGAGAGAGAGAGAGAGAGAGAGAGAGAGAGAGAGAGAGAGAGAGAGGAGAAAGCACTGCATACAACAAACATGGCTGCTGAAGAAAGACGGCCATAATCATAGAAGGTAGGATCCAGTACACACAAAGGTCTATCTATCCATGGCGACAGCTGATGAGAAGGACAAATAAGCAGGAAAACGAAAGGTGTGGACACACCCACAAGGAAGTTACGGAGGAGTCCTCATTACACAGTTCTCTGAACACAGGTGATACAGGCAAGCCCGATCAACTGATGCTGTAGTGTCCTCATGCACGGGAGATAGCAAGTCCAGTGAGCTTCATTCTTTTCCAGAGAATACCAACGATTCAGGAAAGGAATTTTGTACCTGGAGTTTCATGCTGCTGACCAACCTTGAAATCAGACTGCTAAGTGGGACTTGGTGCCTTGGCAAGTCTCTGAAGTCCTTTTTTACCAACATTCAGGTTAATGGTTAAGAGTTGGCATTTAGAATGTGCGATAATTTCCGTTCGGTACTTTAGTTAATAATACATCTTTCCATGGTGTCTGAAGGATATGTCCAAACAAGTAATGGAAAACTAGGCTGATGCATTTAAGAGGTACTTTGTACAACACAAACCCAGCAGACAAGAGTAACCATCACATACAATTGGAGCCTGAGTCTCGCAGATGGCTGGAGTCTCTGGTTGCCTTCAGAAGCCTTCCTAATTTACAGCGGGGGGGGGGGGGGGGGGGGGGGGGGGGGGGGGGGAGGGGGAAGTTTCTGGTTGCAGTCTGTAGTAGCATCAGGTACTTCTCAGATTTCAGAACTGTTTGTCTCTCCAAACACCACGACCCCACACCTCAGATTTCACAGTCTGTTAAAATCAAGGTCTGCTGGAAACATATACACGCCGTCCATTCTTCTCGTATTTGCAGGCTTTAGCTATACTGACAGCTGGAAAATTATTGGGAGTTCGGGATCTACCAAATTTTCCTTTGCAGCCCCACACATGTTGGCTTTTGCCTTTTGATCCTGCGTAACTAGGTCAGGTCCGGCTAGGCTACTGTAAAATTTTACCAACTGAGGAATTCTTGTTGCTGCTTCTCACTGGCAAAGCGCCATGCCCTAAAACTGTTGGTGAACTTGTAAGTAAGCATTTTTTTGTTTCCTCACAGAAAATAGTCTTTGTTCTTTACATGGAAACTAAGTAAATGTTGCTCAGCTCTGACTTTCTTGATTCTTCTGGGGGCTGATTGTTCTTAAAAAGATTTATGGAAGCAACATTGTAATCCCATTAGAACAAATCTTTAAAAGGCTTCCCAAGGTATTTCATTACTTTTACAACAGAATTAAATATCAGAAGTGCAGTTTTTAAATTAAGCTTAATTAAATTTAGCAACAATACTTTCAAATGGTCGGATATTTTCACTCTAACATTTTAGAGAAAAAAAGCAAAATCAAAAACAAGCTAAGAGAGGTAAGAAGGTTGATATTTTGTAAAAGACAAAAAAGTCATGAGCTTTATTGTGAGTTAAGGACAGACACAGGTCACAGGCAGTACTTGTGGGAACTCAGAGGTCCTGCTTTTGGAGTTTGTCCCTACACTTTTAGAGCTGGCAGTAGGGACCTAAAATTTTCTTCCCGCTGTGCTACCAAAGAATCAACTACGGATAGCTTTGCAAGTTTGAGCTCTGTGAGTCTCGATTCCAGCACATTCTAGAAACTTCCAACAGCACTTTTCTTGTTTCCTATGAAGGGGGGTGGGTCACTATCAGATACACTCTTTAAGCATCAGCTGTGGGTCACAGTGTAGGGACTGTGGAAAACCCCTTTGTGTGGTAATGGAGCCAATGATGTGGAACAGAATGGGGATGTGAACAGTTAGGAGCCAACAGTCTGGAGAACTGACATTGTTCTGGATAGCGGAGAAGGAAGAGACACCAGGGCTAATGACATCCAGAAGGGATTTTGAATACAGTGGGGTTGAAGAATGTTCTAATGGAAAATAGCCATAGATTGCAGATAAAGTCCTCGCGTGTGAGAGTACCCACAGATACACAGCTTCACTTCTCTTCTCTATAGTCTACATCCCGACCCTGGTAAGTTAGCTGTGTGTAAGTATAAGATTCTTCCTAGTTCTTTCTTTGATGTCTGTGCCTCTAGAGTCTATGAAGTGGTAAACCCATGCAGATGCTTCAGTACCTTCACGGCTTCAGATAAACATAACATGCAAACCAACATATAGTAGAGAAAACCATGCCACTAAGCAATTCATTGGACCTCTCTCTTTCGAAGACCTGTTTCTTCGATAACTTTCTGACATTTTAATGTACTTAGGGCATGGTTGAGGATGTAGCTTAGTTGGTGGAGTGTTTGCTTAGGGCATGCAAAGCCCCGAGCTTGATCAGCACTATATAAACTGGAAATGGTGACATACTCATGTTATCCCAGCATTTCTTGGAAGTTACAGACAGGCAGATCAGAAGTTCAAGGTCATCTCTGGCTGCAAAGTGATTTGAGGCCATCCCGTGCTACACGAAACATCTGAACAAAACAAAACAATAAACCTCTCCAAACCTGAAAGTCTAACCGAAAGAATTACCCAGTGAGCTTGCTGAAAGCAGCCCCATTTGCGCTTCCCCTCCCCACAACCTCTACTCATTTTGATTCAGGAAAGTTGAGCCTGAGCCAGGCATGTGAATGTTTAGTCTGGAATCTGAATATTTGAGTTCTCTCAGGTGGTTCCTGAGGGTCACAGGTGATAGTTCAGGGACACCAAAGCGAGGAACTAAGCCCAACTTCTAGTCCTTGTCAAGCTGAGGACTTGCAGAGACTTTTAGGGCAATTTCAAGTCAATCTCTTTGGAATGTTTCAGCTTTAGAAATAAACCCTGGATCTGTTTGATCCAGTCACAGGCTCTCAGAGCCAAAATGAACAATAGGCCATGGATTACCTGGTTGTATTTGAATTTCTAAAATATTTAATTTTCTAGAATGATGGCTTGCCAGTGGGAAGACTTACCAGATAGTGTCTATGGTAGAAACAGTACAGTCTCAAGTAAGTGGGGTGTGTGTGTGTGTGTGTGTGTGCGTGTGTGTGTGTGCGCGTACGTGCGTGTGTGTGTGTGTGTGTGTGTGTGTGTGCATATGTGTACCTGCATGCATACACATTCTTAATTGTGTGTGAACTGTCAAGATATCTGGTAACAGACTTTGCTGTAAACTGCCAACACCAGTCTTCTCTTGCTGGCTGGAGAGTCTCTGTGCCTAACCTAAGTTGTATCATTCTTATTTACTTGTTCCTTTTAGGTCCTCTGTGGAGAGCAGAAACAACTCCTATTCTCCACTGGACAATCATCAGAGCACTCGACAAAAGTATTCACACCACAGGCAATGTCATAGCAACCCACCAGGTTTGTTCTGAGAGCTTCAAGTGTTGCAAACACCGTTTCTGGGCTCCTGTGTACATGCATAGGTTTTTAGAGGAAGAGCCTTGTCCACGATCACGTTGCTGCTTTGGGCTAGCCTGTAGTAATGTCAGAGTGATCAGGAGACATGGGGTACATTTAGGCCCCCTGCTTGGATTCCAGTGACTCAACAGGGTCACCCCTGTTTGTCTCCAGACAACACTCTTTTCTTTCTATCCAGGGGACTTATGTAAGATGCCGAACCAAAGGATTTTAAGTTGATGAAGAGAAAAGACAGCAAGGACTTTCTCAGAAGAGGAAAATCTCACCTTCCTTACAGGCTCTTCTGTCCCAGTTTGTCAGACTGGCCTCATGGTAACAATTTACCCTTAGGTTTGAAACTTTTGTATCTACTGCTATGATGAAGATTTCCTGAGGTCAAGGACGTTTTCTCACTCATTTTACCATCCAGCACACGGAGGAGCATTCTGTTAGATGGGTGTATGATGAACATACATTCTATATTTTAAATACAGCCTCTCTGTTTCCCAGGTGCCTTTGTCCTCAGCCCCTGAGTTCCAGGACCATAAACATGTTTCATTCATTGCTTCTGACTTTATTTACTAAAAAAAAGAATCTGTGGAAGAAATTATTGGACATGATTGTCTTACAAACAAGATGTATCTCACATACTCCGTTGGAAATGATGGCATAATACGAATTTTTGCAGTAATGTGTTGGCCTTTGCTTTTTTTTTTTTTTTAAGAAGATTTGATGTTAAGGCCCGCATTCTAATCAGATCCGGGTGACCATTCACAAATCGGAGTTCGTTAAACCCTGGTGCAGGAAGTGAGTGTCTGGCTCCAGTGTTGCAAGTGCATGCAGTAATGAAGATGGCTGTGCTGGGATCGCTTACAGCAGATGGCCCACATAGATAGCTGAGCCCTGACTTCACTCTGTTCCGACCACAAGAACAACGCAGCATCCTCGGAGCCACAAGCTAATACATCGGCCCACGCCGATGCCCACGGAGAGCCAGAGTGGCCGTTTCCAAGAGGAATGGTAATCTAGCTGCTCTTCGTCCCCGCATGGTGGTGACTGGCACTGCTTGTAAAGATCACGTTTCAGGGGTCACCCTCAAAGTTCTAGAACCAGGTTGCTAGACTAAAGCCCCAGTTTCACACTAACCTGAGAGTCCCCTGTGTTTCACATCACTGCCTGCTGCTTATTGGTGTCATAAGTCAATCACGGTCACCTCCCCTGTGAGAACAGTGAGGGCATTCTAATTAATATCCGTGGAATTGCTTACCACCACCCCCTTGCTCAGTTCATCTTAACCACTGCAATTATATTTTTGATTTTCAGTTTATTCTTTATGTTTATATTTTATGTTTTTCCTGAAGTGGTTCAGTGGAGAAAGCTTTGTTTTGGTTCACGCTTCAAGCGGACAGTCCGCCAAGGCTGGGAAGGCATGGTAGCAGGGATGGCTGTAACTATGGCAACGGCTAGTCATACCGCATTGATAGTCAGGAAGCGGAGTGGGAGGAAGGCTGGAACTCAGTTGGATTTCTTCGTTTTCTCTTTCACTTGAGTCTCAGTCACCCTGGGACCCAAGGCCATGAGATGCTGCTGCCAACATTCAGGTCTTCCTCCCCGGGTACCTACCCTTCCTAGAAGTGCCATCATAATTATACCTAAAGGTGTGTCTATTGGGTGATGTAAAATCTGCCAAGATGAAAGTGAAGATTAGCCTTCAGTTGGGTGTGTGTGGTGTGTGTGTGATATGTGTGGTGTGTGTGTGTGTGTGATATGTGTGGTGTGTGTGTGTGTGTGTGTGATGTGTGGTGTGTGTGTGATATGTGTGTGGGGTGTGTGTGCGTGTGTGTGTGATATGTGTGGTGTGTGTGTGATATGTGTGTGTGCATGTGTGTGTATGTAAAGAAACTGCTAGAAGTCTTCCCAAATACTTTCTAGTCACGTGAAGGGTAAAGTTGTATATTTTCTTTCACCTGAAACATACCCAACTTGGTAAATGAAAGTGGTAAAACAACTTTGCACTACTAGAATGGTTCTGCTTGGTGTGGCATTTATTCTTTGAGTATTATGAGTTTTTTTTAATTTTATTATTTCATTCTTTTAATATTTTACCCAGAACTTTTTCATTCATGAAGTTGGATTACAATATTTGTCCTGCAGTATCTTCAATGATTTCAGGATTAGTTTTTGATGCTTTGTAAAACGACAAAAGCAGAAACTAAAATTTTCTCTTTTATTTTTATTGTCTGTGCAGACGAACCAACCATTCAGTGCTTGAAGAGTTAACTGTCTCTGAAAATGAAGGGCAAAGTCATTTGTGACAGCTTTGACACAAGAGCTCCCTACATAGTGTTTACTAGGAGCTTCTTTTGTTTTCCCCTGGCTTTTTTTTTCGGGTTTTCTCTCTAAATTTTTCCTTCTATTTTATTCTATCTAAAAATTGTAGTTCTTTCATGTCTTCAAACTCACTGTCATGGAGTATGCTGATGGCCGCTAACACCTCTGTGCCACAGTCTCTGTTCTCATCTTGAATATTATTGGCTTTTCTTTGAAAAGGAGCGCAAGCATTCCTCCGTTTTCAACTATTTTCCAGGCACTTACCCACCATATCTGTGAAGTTATAGTTTCTCTATTTTCTTTTGCATTGAGTATCTTTATTTTTTTTTTACCTCCCCCTTCTCTGTATTTGATTTTAAAAAGTATCCCGAGTGGACTGTTCACAGTATTAATCTTCCTGAGTTTATTTAGAACCTTCACCTTTGCCTCTCCACCAGGTCTTACTGCACATTTCAGGCTGGCCTCAAATTTGCTATAATCTTCCTGCCCACTGAGTGCTGGGATTGCAGGTATGCATCACCACTCCAGCCTTGTCTTGTATTTCTATGTTCTTTTGTTTGGTTGGCTTTTCAAGACAAGGTTTCTCTGTATATTTCTGGCTGTCCTAGAACTCATTCTGTAGACCAGGCTGGCCTCAAATTCACAGAGATCTGCCTGCCTCTGCCTCTCAAGTGCTGGAATTAAAGGCGTGTGCCATCACCACTGATCATGTATTTCTGGGGATGCCAGCAATATAACAACTGATACATAGAATCTACATTGCTTGTTTGTGCTATTTTTGCAAACTGAGAATTGAACCCAGAGCCTCATGCACAGTAGGCAAGTGTTCTGCCAGGGCCATACAACCCCAACCCATAGGAAACGGTTAAACTTAGCTTATATGATCTTATTCCCATTTTTCTCATTATCTATATTTATTTAAATATCTTACCATTGTCACATTGGGTGTCTCCTTAGACTGGGATTACTTAGGAGAAATATTTAATATATGTTGATAGTTTTTTTCTTGTTCCTTTCTGACTTCATTGCACTCTAAATAAACTTGTTTCTCTAATTCTATAAATGAACTTAATTTGCAGAATTCCTTCACTTCCTTGTGATGGTTCTGATGAGTCTTCAATGCACAGAGAATGTGTGTATCTGTATGTGGGAAACAGACGCAGCCAGCCATGTCAGAGAAAGCTTTATCAGCAAGGTCCTCGAAGCCAGGGCAGCATAAGCATGTTCCTCAGTTCCCATGTGTCAGTGGTGAGAGAGGCATGGAAACAGAGGTAACACTTTGGAGAGATCTCACGAAGAAATTTTACACTGGCTGAATCTAACACGAAGTATTTGGCTACAGATTTTATATCATGTTGTTCTGTTCTCTGCCCTAAAAATAAATTAGCAGATGTTCTGCAGAGCTTTTGTGCTTGGAAGAACATTTTGAATAATGTATGATGAGCGTTCTGGAAATTAATCATGACAAAAAACTATTTTTAGCCTTTGTAATGACCAGACTAGGAAAGCCATTTCCGCACAAAGTAACCTGAGACTGTGTCAATAATTGTTAAGCAAGTTGACTTCCACTAGAATCGTGTTGGAATTTCTTGAAGCTGAAGGCAGTAACTGTTAACATTCTAGCTCCATCTCTCTCCAAATTGAGTCATTGGGAACCTGATCAATCTGCTTGGCTGAGCACCCTGCTGTCCCTCCTGTGGCAACCACTCAGCATGTCCTTTGCACCCGTGTTCCATGGCTCCAAAAATGCATCTTCTGTGGAACCTTTCAACACTTCGATGGCTCGAACAGAACAGACTGCTTTGCAAAATGCTTCTTGCCCATTCTCCCCTTAATCCTTCTCCTCTTTTTTTGCATAAAAGTCTGAATCAATAAAACGAGTCATTTGCACAGAGCACGTCCAACTTTTGTATCCTTCAACACTGAAGTCTTATTTCTGTGGGACCGCACAGAAACATAATCCGGCAGATGGAGCAGAGCGTTGCGCGTTAATGTGGTTGCAGCATTGTAACAAGACGAGGAAAGACAAGGCTGTGCCTGGTGGCCACCGCTGCAACCCCAGCACTAGCAGACTGAGATGGGAAGATTGCCTGGTCCACAAATGAGGTCTGGGTTAAACGAATATAAAATCAAGTGCTCTAAATATCTCTAAAATATTTAGCATAGAAATGGCCAAAGACCAGAGAGTTGGGTCAGCGGGTAAAGTCACGTGCCACCACCCCGCTCACCTGAGCTTCCTGGGACCCACATAGTGGCAGGAGAGAACCAAGTTGTCAAATTGTCAAATTGTCCTTTGACTTTCATATGCATGCTGTGTCATGGACCCCTCTTTCCCATAAATAAATGTAAAAAAAAATAAAAAAAATGATCAAGCAAGATTGAATATCTAAATATCCAAAAGTACAAACTGATAATTTGAATATTGAAAATTATATGATCATATGAACATTATTTATGTTGTCTGCTTGTATAATAAAATACAATTGCATATGCCATGCATTTCTAACTATATTCTAAAAAGCATTTACATAGAAAAATGCTAGGAGAAAATTCTGGAAACATTAACAATATTACCTTTTCATAGTAAAACTAGAATTTCTTTCTCTTTAAAAAACAATCTTTGCTCATTTTCCTTAATGGCCATATATTTTTTTATCAGATATCACCAGTATACTCTGTACTAACTAAATATGTTATTAAAATGTTCCATTCTTAATGAATATGCAAAATCCAGCAGCTCTTTCTCTGTTGTATAATTTTATCTCTTAGGATAAAACGATGTGTTTATGCAGGCTTTTGAATCACACATAAATGTAAAAGGATACAATAGGAAAAGAAAAAGGCAATTATGCCCATGTCATAAAGGGTCAAGATCCAGGAGAGAGACTTGGCATCCTTCTATATTTAGTAAAGGGAGTCAGAGAACAGTCCATAGTGAAATGCAGAGAAGGATTAGTCTCTCTACAATGCCTCTATCTCCCGAGGGAGCTGAATTCAATTTATATCAAAAATCAAGAGTGTGGGTCAGAGAAAAGGCTCAATGTGTGCAAGTATGAGGCCCAGAGTCTGGATCCCTAGTAGCCATGTCAGAGCCAGGCAGGCATGACATTTCTACACCTAACACATACCTGTAATACCATCATGACCCCCACATAACCAATAGCCCCCTCACTCAGAAGCTGAGACAAGAAATCCCTGGGACAAATTGGCTAGCTAGAGTAGCCAAATTGGCAAGTTCCTGGCTCAACTGCAAGACCTTCCTTGATATAAACAGAGAGAGCAATTGAAGTGTACAGCTGATGTCAGCTTCTGGTCCTTGCATGTATGCACACACACATGCATGTATATCTACACACGTGTACACTCCTGCACATGTGAAGACATGTACACACACACACACTAAGAAGATTCTCAGTATTTTTTTTTTTTTTTTTTTACCAATAGTGACTACAGCTAAGATGCAGGATGCAAAAGGAGAATTCCCTTTGTTGTTCTATGTGAGACTGTCTCCTCCCTTTGAGAGTCTCAGCATGTATTTTGATGAGCTCGGAGAGGTCCCTTGTCCCTTCACGGGCATCCTCTATGCCACCTTCCCAGCCACCAAGGTTGCCTGTTGATTTGGCTTTCATTTTTACTCCACTGTATGCCCTGAAAAGACACATCCTCTTCCTCACCCTCGTGTCTCCAGTCGTAACCCAACATTTGGCAGACAGTACCTGTTCGGTGAATATTCCCTGAATGAGTTAATTAACTCAATGCACACTACCACATATATAGTAATATAAAGGTATATTCAACACACGCACGTGTGTGTCCACTTTAGAAAGCCCGGATGGCAGTTCCCATGCAGAACAGTTTTACCTTTAAAGTAAGTGCAAGTATTTCATTCAAAGTTTGATTTCATGAATCACCGAACCAGTGCCAATTTTCTAAGCAAACTGTTTTAACTCGGCTACATGAGCCAGAGTGGAGGGAGAAACACTTTAAAAATAGCTGACCGGATATCCCTCTTGGTGGCTTGGGTTATGTAAAAGCATTCTGTGCTAAGCCCATGCTTCACATGGATTGCTGACCTCTGAGTGGGCTATTCGAGGCCTCTTTTCAGTGTTAAACTCTGCTTGCAAATGAGACCAGACTAGACAAACAATCCCAAGAAAGTGATAGGTTTTGAAATAGATATCATTTTTGAATTCTTTAGCTGAGGAAAATGTTTTGGCAGTTTTAGGCCATTATCAGTTACCCCTGTTGCTTTGGGCCATGTGGGGAGACAGCACACTGTCACATGAGCCTATGGCTGAACAAGTTGCTTATCTCATGGAAGTCAATAAGCAAATGAGACTTGGGAAGCGGCTGGGCTCCAATAGTCCTCCAAATATGCCTCGTGGCATAAAAGCATGCATGGGGGTTTAGAGAGAATTGTTCAAACCTGTTTCTAGTAGGTGCTGTTCCACCCCTGCTCCACAGACTTGAACCACTGTTTCGTTGGCCCTGCCCTGGCTTCATGCACATGAACGTTAAGCATATTCTGATTATGCTGTTGTGTTTTATTAATTTGATTTGCTACTATTTTATACTTTAAGTTATTTGGAGAAGTTAGATTATTCCTGGTAGAGAGAATAAAAGGCAAAGCTAATAAACAATTATAGTAATAAATAATACACTTGGAAATGAATACAAAATAGAGTATCTCAGAAAAAATACCACCTAGGCCTTTCTTCAGAGGCAGGTGCCAGGCATGCATGGTATCCTTATGAATTTTTCTAGGTCAAGCAACCATTCCAAATGGCACCCTGGAGAAGATGATGTTTGGTAGTTAGCCTTTCCTCTTATTTTGTAGATAGATTAATAAATCTTGGCTTTCACTGCTACTGTTTTTCAGGGCTGGTACTCATACTAACATACGCAAACCTGGAAACGCCCCAGGTGATCAATCAATTAGTAACTTCAGACTGAACATTCCCTGTGCATACTGGGTATCTGCCAGGCGATCTTCCCAGCACCCATGTGCACTTGCTGGCCTGAGTTTGTGGTTCCTGAAGCTACCTGTTTCTTTGCCTGGAAGGATGAGGCTCACTGGCTGGGGTAGAAGGCTGCCGAGCCACCAGTTCTACTGGTTAGACTATTGTATGGCTTCCTGCCTCCACTCTGCTACCGTGTTTAGTGGTAAGCAATAGGAATGACTCAGGCTTGTGAAATGACTTCTTCAAAAAGAATTAGGTTGAATGAAATGGAGGGTGAGTAGTTCATGAATACTGAAAAGTCTAAATAGACCAGCCTCAGAACTATCGTAAGAAGGCTGGTATAGGAACGAGTAGCAAGGATTTTGGTGTGGTTGTTGTTTTGCTTTGGTTTGCTGGCTTGTTCGTTATTGGAGACAAGGTCTTCTGCAGCTGAGGGTGATGTGAATTTTCTGTGTAGCTGAGGCTCTCCTTGAATTCCTGACACAGCTGTCTGTGCCTTCCGAGTGCCGCGAACCAACGCAGAGCTTCCAGAGAGCAGCAAGTGGCGCTAACTACTGCGCCATTCCTCCAGCACAGACGAGGGTTTGCCAGTTGTCAGCAAGCACAGCCGCACACTGAGGTCCTAGCAGGTGCCAGGCACCATGTCAAACACTTCATCATTGCAGCAATAGCTTGATGTTATCATCTACCGACACAGGAAACAAAGCTCAACAACTCGGCCAAGACCGTCCAGCTAATTCTCCGTGGAGTGGGTTGTGATGAGCTTTCAAAGTATTTTATCAAAACAGGTTAAGTCTTTAAAAAATGCTTTGCATGAGGTAAAGGGTTCTTTTATTAAAAATGATAAAAATAAAATTAGCCAGGGGGTGGTGGTGCACACCTTTAATCCCAGCACTCGGGAGGCAGAGGCAGGCGGATCTCTGTGAATTTGAGGCCAGCCTGGTCTACAAGAGCTAGTTCCAGGACAGGCTCCAAAGATACAGAGAAACTTTGTCTCAAAAAGCAAAAAAGATAAAAATTATGAATTTAGAATTCAGAGGAGAAATAGGGTCAGAATGAACCACCCTCGCTTAGCTTCTAAAGCACAGCTGAGCAAGCTGTGCAGGTGTCGTTTGCATGGCCGCTAAGGTGGATGCTGTCCTGGCTTGTTTACTGTTGTGATAAAGCAGTCTGAGCAAAATCAAATTATAGGAGGAAGGTATTTGCTTGGATTATTGCTGGGAGCCAATTTGAGTGGCCGCCATTACAAGATGGCATTTGGCCCCGGCCTCGCTTGATAAATAACTCCATATTAAGGTTGCAGTTCTTCCACCAGAAAACAGGGTGAGTTGTTGTGATCTAGCTGCCCACACTCCCCTGACCAGGAGGAGAACTTCCTTGTGGTCTGTAATTGACAGGGATGTTCCCCTGCTTTCTTTCCTGCCGGTGGGTCTCCAGAAAAGCAGTTAAAGTATCAAAGTATCAAAGGTTGCTAGGCAGACTCCCTATATAAGCAGCTACAGCTCAGAGCTCGGGGCCCCTCGCTTTCTGCTCTCACTATAACCAAAAGGCTCCAATAAAGCGTGATTTGGGAAGAATCCTAGTCTGGTGGCTGTTCTTTCCTGCTGGTCAGGGAGTTCGCCGCAACTGGTGCCGAAACCCAGGACGCTGGGACAAGCTTTGGTACCGAGTGAGGGGCCAAAGAGGATTCAGAACCCGACACGTGGAGCGGCGACATCATGAGAAGAGCTCCGGTGTTGTAAGACAGATGGTGGCCCATCAGGGGGTGCACCAGACAGTCCCTAGGTAAGGCTGTGGATCCACGACAAAAGTGGGTTTTCCCGCTCTCGCCACTAGAAGAAGGGAGAGTGGGGGTAATAGGGCCGCGACCAAAGCGGATGGTTTAAAGTCAGAGCCACGATCAGATCAAAGTGGACGGTTTAAAATGAGAGCCACGACCAAAGTGGACAGTTTAAAAATGAGAGCCACGACCAAAGTGGACAGTTTAAAAATGAAACTAAAAGGAAGAATAGGATTTTAGAATGGACGTTTCAACATCACACCTGATTTTTCTGGCTCTTAACGAGCTGTTATGGAGCGCTTTGGAAAGGTTTTTAGC